TAGCTCCTTTTCCCACCCCTCCCACTTGACAGCTCACTAACAATGCTGGATTTATGCACCAATTTATCAGCTCCCGCCTGCAATGCGCAGCTACCTACCCCCCCTCCCAAATCAACGAAACTGCGGCAGCTACAGACACTTTACGACGAATACGCGGTTATCACAGCTGACAATGATGATGATGAAGCTTGGATGTTGAAAGAAAATCGCCCAGTGCTTTTCGGAAAAGGCTAACTTTACATTGCCGGAATTCGAAACTCCAATGGACGATGCAGTTAGTTGTGGCGGTTCTTCAGGTATCGACCCATTTTCTTGGGCTTCGCATATGTCAATCACTAAGTTCGTACACCACAGTCAATGTCTGATCAAACTCACGAGTGTACGCCCGATAGAGGAGGTTTTCGTTGGTTCAAACCGTGTTGGTTGTTTGGTACTATCACAACGACACTTTCTATTCTATGAAAACCGTTTAATGATGTTGAAAACCTCAATTCTATTTGGATTCTTTCATAATGGTTGTTTTTTCGGGATCGCATTTGAGCTTAAGATCTTGTGAATTGTTGCCGAGAAGCAACTCTTGTAATTCACCATCTTCGATTTCATCTAGCCGCTGCAGACCGTCAAACAACCACAACAACGGTCCGGCTCATTTCGATCCACTTTCGCGTCACCAGCAATCGCCAGAGAAATCGGACAGATGGTAGCCGAGTGGCGGGCGGAGGCACGTGAGAAAGTTTCCCGCATGACAGACACTGAGCGCTTCCAAATTCTAGCGGATTTAGGAATACCCGGCTATGCAGAGCTCGCCGGTCGTGACGCGCCATGTGCAGCCGCAGTACAAGGGAGTCAGCCCAGTGATTCGATGAATTCACCGATCCGGATATCGCCAAAGCAATCCACACACCACCCGCCTTCATCCACAACCGCACGTAAACGCAAATCATCGTTGCTTCTTCGTGGTGCTCGGTTTACAAAGGTGAGCTGTTATCTGATTTATGACTTGATTTGTTCGTCCTTGTTGCGTGTGATTCCCTTTTATCCCTTTTTGGCTTGTGGATAGCAGGTTCCCTTCAACCTAACCACATATCCTCTCAGGATTCCTTACCGTCAACTGCAATTTAGTTTTTGGTTGTCTCTTCCTTTTGAGTGGGTTCTGTCAACCCTTTTCTTGCCCTGGTATACACATACCGTTTGTTTTCTGGGGTCACTAACGCATTCGTGCTACTTGGGGATAGATTGACGTGAGTGAGCATACTGGGATGGCGGTCGTGTGACACTTGGAGGGTAACATTCAGCCGAGATGCGACGAACAAATTATCCTGGTCTTTTGTTTTTCTGGACGTAAAGTATGTGTGGTGATATTACTAGGAAAGAACTTTGATCCTAACTCAAGTCTATAATAAAATAATAATAATAATAATGATAATAATAGTAATAATAATAATAATAACAATAATAATAATCGCTCAGCTTAACACCCTTCCGGTGCCTAGCTGCCATGCTACCCGAAGGAATAACGAGGGCTAGGGTACTGCCAGGTTGCCCAAGCCTAGACAGGCGAAGTCGAGAGGCAGAGGTCGGATCCGAACCACGAACCTTCCGGTCAGTAAATTCGCGCTCCAATCACTTGAGCCATCTCGCTCAAGTTTGTGGTCCAGCGCGATCACATATGCCACATCAGACACTAGTTGTGGCTGATAACTGCACTTCGGTGGGCTGAAGCTTGCAACCTCGGTGACACTGGATAAGATCCAGGGGTTGCCGTTTAGAGGATGCGAGTTGTAACCCCCACCTTCGAGTTGGCTACTGGCTTTTGAGCCCAACTCTGTCACCCGTATATTTTTACTCGTTCTAAAAGTGTTTCGGTCTCCGGTAGCCACTCACAAATACGTGGTGCCGTCAACCATGCTGAGAAGATCACAGCGATTCTTATAGCAAGGGTTGCTTTTCGTGTTGGTTGTTTGAGGCGATGGCCCCCTACGTACTGTCTCTTTTCTAACGCTTACAATACTTTGGTTGATACCCGAATCCAACGTACTCTGTTGTTTTTCCTTCTCCACCGTCCCCAAAGCAATCTCGCCTCTCCGGTTACTCTCGATTCCAACGCAAGGCATCCAAGCGGCGGAGTCTGAAAACAGTGGAACCAGTGAGGCCTTCTCCGGATGAACAAAAAGCCGCAAGTCAGCTGGTGGAAGATGAGAAATACGATGACGAAGAGGACCTGTATGCAGACGAGGAGGAGGAGGAGGAAGATCAATTGACTGTGATTGTTCGTCGTCAACGCGAGGTCTTCTCTGCTCGGGTCGCAGCTGGCCGACCGAGTATCCGAAATACCAGACCTCCCTCGACAGCGGCCAATACAACGACAGCTACAACGGAGTACAAATTGAGCGGTGCTAGTTCGGCCGCACTCGCGCGCGCCATGCTGTCAAACAAGGTGCTTCGCGAGTGGAAGGCGTTGGCTCGAAAAGTGGTTTGTAAGGTTGCCCGACAGTGGATTGCAACCAGGCGTGACAAGATGAGTTTGGCCAAGCGTGCTGCCAGGGATTGTGCTCGGCTGATGCGACAACGAGCACTTGTTTCTCAAAAGTCTACCAGGGACGCTGTTTGTAAGTCGTCTTGTTGTTTTCAATCGCCCTTTCGGAAACAGACAAGTGCATATGTTTGTACTAAAAAGGTAGTATTATTTTAGGGGGATAGACAGTCTGTGTCATGCGATAGGCATACGCAGAGAGGGACATGATAGAGGGAACGAAAGTAGACAGGTGAGTGGAGTGGTGGCCTAGTCACACCATTTTTTCCCAGCCTGAGTGAGTGAATCCTTCGGTGACTGTCATTACCTCAAAGGGTCTCGTCAACTCTGCATGTGCTGAGATTCTAACCATGGACCGTCATCACGGTTTTGTCGATCCGCATTTCAGCTGAGGAGACGAATGGGCGTTCGCTTCTTGAGATTTGACTTAACTCTGCGAGTAATTTAACTCGTAGTCGTTTATCCTAACGTCATCGTTGCTGTGAGGATTGATTGGAGTCAATGAACCTAGAACTTGGAATGGATATTCGTGATAAAGTGCCTTCTTTTGTGGTTATGACGTCCTTAAGCTGTAGCACCCTTTCGGTGTCTAACTGTCATGCCACCAGAAGGAAGTACGGGGGCTAGGATACTGCCAGTTTGCCCGAGCCTAGACAGGGGAAGTCGAGAGGCAGAGGTCGAACCACGGACCTTCCGATCGGTAGATTCGCGCTCTAACCACTGATCTGTCTCGCCCCCACAGGTACCGCTCAGTCGCCAGGACGCGAACTTGCTGACAGTGAGGTACGTGGTTCGAGCTCAACTCCGGCATCTCGACTACCCCTGTCTAGCCCGGGCAGTATTCCACTTCTCATGCTTGGACGGCAGCTGGGCGCCGAGCGTTACAACTGAACGATACGATATATGACACACAGATAGTATTTCGTAACTGGGGCAATCATTCCGGCCGAATCGAATTCATTTGTCATGCGCTGTGCAGTAGTTTCACCATCTGAGCGCAGAAAGCGCAAGCGGCGGTTCTTTCTTGGGACTCCTAAAACGAGGTAGTACCCTGGTGGTTTCTTCGATGGCAGAGCACATTTGGCGTGGTGGTTGGATAATTTCGTGTTGACGCTTTTGAAATAGTGACTCCGAAAAAGCCTGCTTATGTGATCAAGTGAACTACTTCTAGCGAAACATGTAGCCTATTTCGGACCTCATTCCTACGTCATCGATCATCCCAAGAGAACATCGCTGGTTTTTTATTCGAAGGGTGGGTGTATTCTATTTGGTATGCTTTACTTGAATATGTCACTGACTTTTGCGGATACAGTGTTTGTGACGTAATTGATCATGCCATACGTCGTTCCCCACACTATTTTTACCCTTCAGCCCGGGCTCAGCGGTTGGCTCGTGAGATATCTGCAAATTGGCATAGTTCCATAGTGTCCGTCTCCAATGGTAACGGTCCTTTGACGGTCAATGGCGTGCAGATGCCCTCCTCTACTCAACTTCTACGCTACGCCGAGCATTATTCAAGTAGCAAAACCGATAACGGAACTGCTAGTGAGACTCCGTTTGTGGAATCAGCAACAGCCGCTCGTCGGCGAGCCGAGAGAGCGGCTGCTGAACAGGGTCGAGCGGATTTGGGACTGCTGGACGAGAGAGCGGCTGCTGAACAGCGTCGAGCCGATTTGGAACTGCTGGAAGCTAGACGACAACAACGAAAGTTGAACTTTTTGATAACACAGACGGAGCTGTACGCACATTTTATGGCCCGAAAACTGGATCGTACGGCTGTTGCTGCCGCCGCCACTGGAATGCAAGGGTCGGAAAACAGTGACGTTAAGGCCTCTCGGTCATCTTCTGTAGACGAACAAGAGGACGACGACGCGCAACAAATTTTGCAAAGGCTGGATGAGGCGGATGAATACGAACTGGACGAAAACAGTCAACAGTCAGCAGATGATGTCCAAGCTGAAAAACAACCACAGTCGACCGAATCTAGCAAGACGCTCGTTAGCAATTCGATTGCGGTGGCTGCACGGGCCGCTGCCCAACGATTAGGTATCAGCCCTGAGGAAGAGGAGTACGGTAGGGCCGCTGCCCAACGATTGGGTATCAGCCCCGAGGAAGAGGAGTACGGTACGTTCCACCCCCTCTCTGTGTGTCTTAGATCCAGGTGACCCTCTCCCAAGTTACTACGCCATTGCCACGCCGTGGATTCCACGTGTTCCCGGAGAATTTGATGGTCAATGACTATCGAATTCTGGTACCACTGCGGTTGCAGATAAAAGTTGTTGTTTCAGACCAAAATGACATATCGTTCGGGTTCTTATCTTTGATTTAAAAAAAGCCCAGCTGACTTAGATTTGTTTGGGTATGTCTTGTTTGATCGACCTCCATCCAAATTAGGATTTGATGAGAAGGAATGCTTTTTTCCACCTCGACTGCAGCCAAAGAATAATGAGGCATTTCCACAGTTAGTTACCCCCATGTGAGGCTCGAAACTGTGGAAGAAGACGGTTTGCCAAATGGGATGCATTCGAAGCTGGCGAAAACGTATTCGCGCGCAAAGCTTTCAAGAACAATGTGAGGAAAACTGTTCACATGCCCATTTGTTTACATCTTACCGAAATTCTTTCCTAAAACCTTTCCCCTTTGGCGCTTCTCTCCCGTCGATAGTTTGAAGCTGAAATCGGCCGCTATTGTGCCTAGGAGGTTTTAATTCTCTTTGTCTGTGAATTTTGTTGGTATGTTGAGGGTGCTGACAAATAGATCGATGTGAACGCGAATGCTACGAATCCTGTAACCACCTAAATGATTTATAATGCACTACTCATGAGGTTGCTGAAAACCAGTCGAGTGACCTTATGAGTAGTGCATTGCAAATGTATACATGTATCGCGATATCTCGAGTATCGTATCGACTGAAAAATGAGGCGGTCTGGTGCAGCACATTCAGTTGCCTGAAAACATCACAAACGAGAGATTCAGCTTGGTTCCAGGTGAGTCTCTCGAGAAACCAAATTAGTTTCCGAATGAGTGTATCGCCTAAATGATTGTTCACCAAGTTTGAGGTGTCCGCGACTAGGAAGTCTTGGCGGATGGGTCACTGGGTCGACACAACCGTGACAGTTGCTGGATCTCCGTTCGAGGTGTCGGAAAACCGGGACAGGGGGCTAGAGTATTGTGAACGTGAGCTATAATCATGACATAGCCCTATCTTCCAACCGAAATCGGACAGTTCAAGCATGGTAGAAAGACAACTCTGACGCAATCAGGTGAAGTCATGGTTACGGAGATCGTTCCGATGATCTGAGGCGAGATGGTTTTAAACGATTTAATTGGGCTGTGCTACTTAATTCCAGGTTTCACCCAACTATACTATTCACAAACCCGCATCATTGTCGACCTCAGGCAAATAAAACAAATACCACCTCTTTTACAGGAGTTCCTTTATGGCTCGAAATGGCTCAGTGGGTAAGATGCGAACTTACCGGCATATCGGTTTTTCCTGACTAGGCTTGGGCATTCCAATGGTATCTTAGCCTTTGTGCTTTCGTCGAAATGGTGTTAGAATGGAACGATTATGACTCATTATTGTGGATAGAAGAGTAGATATCCAGAGCAGAATGACGCGTTATCGACCATACTGCACTTATCCACGCGCACGAACTGCAGGCGAACCATGCAATTGGAAAGCTGTTGACGCAAAACAGATTTGTTGACTTCTGCTACGCAATGGACACGCTTCTTTTTTCATGGACGAGCCGAGGCACCGACCCTTTAGTTCGTGACGAATGGGATATCTGAACAAACCAGTCTTATACGAATAGGTTGTTTATTTTTGCGTCGTGATACGGTGTTGAAAATTTGGATTATATTTGTCGCTCACTGTTGTCAGTCTCCGCTATCTCTGTCGTTACGGGAGTGCGACGCACCCGTTTAACACCGAATTAAACTTTGGTTTGGGGGTATTGTTCCTACATTCCCACGTCATTTTGGATTTTTTTTTTGGGGGGGGGGGGGAAG